GTAGGTGATAGAGGTGCTCTCCCACAGCGGCATCTCCGTCTGTCCATCCAAACACCTCGCGAAAATGCACCAGGAAGTTCTGCAGACCTTGAACGACGGGGTTGGCCTGAGCCCAGATAGTTTCCACCCATTGCAGTGCAGGTCCTGTTAGCAGGGAGATAATAAAAGCGATTTTAGAGGTGTCGGTGGGATATGAGTGCGGTTGCATCTTAAAGGTGAGATTGCACTGGAGGAGGAATCCGTTGCACTCCTCCGCCGAACCAGAGTAGGGCGCCGGTCGAGCCATGGGACTAGCGATGATGGTAGGCGAAGAAGTGCTTGTTGGGATGGATGAGGGGATGGGTGGGGATGGCAGCGGTGCCAGTGGATTTCGTAGCACTCGCCGTAGCGAGTCTACGAGCTCCTGGAAAGGTTCGGGGTGACTCATCTGTGCCGTCGGTGTTGGTCCGGTCTTCTGTTACGGAAGAGGTTTGCCACAACAGGTTCGTTTTATACAAAACAGTTTATTTGGTCACAGTGAGTACTGGTGTTGAGTCCGGAGGAAGTGAGGGTGAGGGAAAGGTCCGTGAGAGAGTGAGGAGGATATGGAGAGGGGAGAAATCCGAGTCTTTTGCTTGAGTGTGGCTGGAAGGGATCCGGGGGAAGCACACACCTCAGCGATCCGGGAACTAGGAGATACAGGAGACACTTGGAGACGAGGAGACACTAGGAGGAACACAGGAGGTAAGTAATGCAAGAAGTATTCAAAGGTAATCAGTAGCAAAGTCATTGAGTCCTCTACGTGTATACGAGACCGGACAGTGAGGGTGTGTGAGGTGTGTGCTTTTATGCAGGCTGGAAATGAGGTGCTTGATTTGTGACAGGTGCGGGTGCTTAGAACTCAGGTGAGAGGGATTGTTGTGATTGGGTGGTGGCGGAGCCTGGCCGATCTGTTACAAGTGCACACTACACAGTATACACTGGATACCTCTTAATTAAAAAAAAATAGAACCCTGCAGCAATAATAAGAGTAGTATGTAACAATGAGAGAGTGTTTTGTGTTGTGCTTCATCCGAACTGCTCAGTCAAACTAAAAAAAAGAGCACAGAAGAGGTTAACGAGAGAAATGTGGAAAATGTGTTATTTACATAGAGCAGTTTGGTTTTCAAGCTCTGCTACAATTAGTGGTTTCGCAGTGAAAATTTCATCTAGCAGTGGCCTGTGAGTTCATGTCTCACAGCAGAGATCTGCGGTCACTGTTTCTTCCAGCAGTCTCTGAGGGAGGAGCCCTCCGAGGTTAAAATAGTTTAGAAGAAATAGAGGCTTGAACTGACAAACAAAACAATGCAGATGAAAACAGCATGAAACTTTAAGTTCTCACAATAAAAATGCAGGTGCTTACTGTCACTGTTTTCATTGTCACAGCGCTAGAGAGCTCACTAACTGGAAGAGGGGATGATTTTGACAGGAAAAGTATGGGAGATATTTAAAAACGAGAGAAGTGAAGACACGTAAAACAGAAATATGAGTGTGACATAAGGGAATGAAAGAGAATGACTGAAAGAGATCTGCTCGTGGTACTGTACCATCAGTCTCGGGCTGGATTCTGGTCTTTTTATACTTCCAGATGATAGTTGGGGGCGGCGAGCTGATGACATCACAGATGATGTCAGCGTCATCGCCTTCCTTGAACTCTTGAGGTGATGGAGTGTTTTGGAAAGTGAGTTTCTCTGAAAAAGACATTTGAAATGCTCTTCAGTTGTACCACTACTGCAAAAATCCTTTTCTTAATCTGCATTTTTGTCTTGTATTTCAGTAAAAGCTTGAAAAGCAATGTCGCATTAGATATTAAGGAATATTTTGAGAAAGAAAATATGTAAACATACTTAATATATTTCTGAGAAAGATTAAAGATTTTTTTCCCATTGGGTAAACAGTTTATTTCTGGTTTGAAAAATAAACTTCAAGATGATAAATTATCTGAAATATATTATTTTAGTAAGTATCCTTGAAAAAAGTGGCATGCTGATCAGCTGTTTTTTTTTTAAATGACATCAATAATGAAATAAAAACAATTACATAATATTTCATAGAACAATTTATATTTATGAATAAATGTTAAATGTTATTTTATTAAATACATTAATTTTAATTGTTGCATTTTTAATAATTAATCATATATATTTAATTACAAAAATATATATATATATACAATTTATTATAAGAAGTATATTAGATAAGTTGTCAGAACGGCATAATTAAGTACAAAAACACAGAGGTTATGGCAGGATTAGTTCACTTTAACGAAGCCAACCCTCTACATTGCGAGTAAATATATATATATATATATATATATATATATATAGTATAGTATAGTATCGCCAATGGCGATTCAATTGCCAAGGTGTCCATAGAGGGTTGGAAGCATAAAAAAATTTTGTGTGATGATTTCAAGAAATATAATATATATCAAATGTATTCCAACAGCAACTGTTTTCATGCCATATGCGTGGTTGATGTTTAAAACTGACGTGTATCAACCTTATGCTTTCATTATTAGTGTACTGTTTTGTTATTACATGTGGTAAATGTCAAATGATTTATTGTGCTTGGGGTTTACTGTTGGGTCCAAAACAATTTAATTTCCTCATTTCTCATTTCTCAATAAGCCCTTGAAAGGAAAATATTTTACTTACGGAAAATGTTTACGATGACAGTGCCCTGAGATTCCTTGTCCCCACTTTTCGCCACGCACTTGTACATGCCCGCATGGTCGACGTTGGCATTATAGATTGTGAGCGTCGACGAGGGCTCGTCATTCTTGCTGACACTGATGTCTGGTCTGCCTGGCAGGAGCTTCTCCCCATTGGGTGCAAACCAGTCTATGTCCTTAGCATCTCCAACAACTGACAGACAGACAGACAGACAGACAGATAGAGTGAAAACATTGTGACAGACCATCAGCTCATCAGCTATTTAAAGGTAGGGTTGGCGATTTCGGAGAGGCTAGCAATAGCAAGCTAGCTTTGAAAGCATAAGGAGGTAGGACAGCCTATCGTAGCCCTTGGACCGAGGGATATGACTGGACGAACATTTATGGTCCTACACCTTCCACAGACGATATAAACACATATAAATACATTTAGACCACTTAACTTAGTGATTTCTATCAGGATGTGAAGAGACTTTCAACCAGCATAACAAAAAAATGTTTTTGAATTAAATCCCCTACCCTGCCTTTAATAATTCATATGCACAAATATAACGAAATATAGCAATAAACATTTCCTAAAACAGATTTATCTAAATGTTTTACTAAATAATTTTCATATATTTGTTATTATAATATTTATTTTAATATTTAATATATTTTAACATGACTTCATTATCAGGGTGTCTACAGATATATACCAGTTAAATTTAAGACTTTTAAGACCTTTTTAATACCACCTTATATGAAATTTAAGACCAAATTTAGATTACATACATATATGTGTACATTTTTCTTTTTATTTCTTTCTTTTTATTTTTTTAGTGATGCACCAATCTTGGATCATGATTTTTCATGATTCCGGGTTTTTTTTTTCAAGCAAATTGGCCGATTCCAATACTGATCACCATTTTTTTTAAGTAAATTTATTTGTTGTTTATTTGTTCTATAACAGGCAAACTGGCTTAAAACAAAAATATCCATAGACATTTGAAAGCAAGCAATTAGAGGCAACCACTGCATTTTTGTTACATGTATTCCCTATGTGTTGGTGGACTTTTATGTTATGTCCAGTCTTGTGCCATGTTTTGTAGTTCTTAGTATTTTTCCTTGTTGATTAGGTTCCCCTGGTGCTCATTTATCACTCCCCCTTGTTATCTTGTTTAGCTGGTTTCCCTTGTGTATAAATAGTGCTTGTGTTTCACTCGTGGTTGGTCAGTCGTTGTATGCTATCGCTTGTTTCTAGTGTTTCCCTGTTCGTTTATTAATGTATTTCTGTGCTTAGATTCACTTCCCTGCCTGCTCTTTTTTACCTTTGCATAACAATTTTAATTATGATCCAAATAAAGTTGCTACACATAGCATGAACAGTTGTTTTTGATATTAATTCAAATGTATAATTTCAAGATTAAAGGCAAAAACAGAATGGTCTGACTTTAGATATGTGAAATTATGCTACATTAGACACCTGCACAAAACAAAAACCTCAGACGGACTTAAAGAAAATGCAAATTCACTCTCTGACAGCAGGTGGCGCTTATGGAACAGCCGCAATACAGCGTTTCCTTGGTTACCGCTGTAAACAAAACAGTGCTGCGCTTATGTACACGAAGATAAAAGAAAAAGAAAATGCCATCAAAACCTTTCTGAAGACAATCAGTTCCCTTCAGGCTCTGACTGACCTGAGGCTGAGAAACATTTTCCCTGTGAATGCTGCGCATTATAACCAATCAAACGAGATTCTGTTGAGTTTATGAATGCAATGGCCAATCAGGAGTGTTCAGATGAGTCATTACTGAAACGCTGGAGTTTTGTTTCGTGCGCGTGCTTGTTGACTGAATTCTACTCTCTTGTGAATTTTCTCATCATAAACAAAGTGCAGATGTATATACGATGTAAGTAAGAGATTCATTTCACAGCTTCAGTGATTTTAATGTGAGTTGTTTGAGAGTGCTTAAACTCACGCTAGACTATAGTCAGTGATAATGTGATAATGTAAATTCTTTGCTCGCTTTCAGTATATTCACGAGTTCACACTTACATATAATTGGATTGAGCAAGTAGTAAGCATATTTTGCATGCTGTCCTAAGGGAGGACTCCGAGCTCAGAATATAGCCTGAACCCAGAGAACCCCCCATCCCTGGTCTGGGATGAGAATAGTTAAGAGTGAGGAGTTGGGGTGGAGGAGGGATGCCGTAAAACTGTCGTGGGACAGAGGTGAGTTGGCTGTGTGTATATATACAGTATATACATATTATATTGCAAGTTAAGTTGACTATCTAAATGAGCTCCACCTGCGCTGAATTGATTGATTATCTGAACGTGCTCCTCCTGAACCTTGTTAATAAAACATTAATACTTTATTTGCTGTTTGAATAACCACGGAATTTAAACAAAATAATTCAATAGTAACTTACAATGTTTTTATTAAACTGTGATCACATTAAATATAAATTCAGTCATGCTAAAATATTTTATGACATGACACCCATACATTGTCTAAGAAGACATGTTTATGATGTGCATAGTTAATAAATTACAATAACAGTTGACTACTTTTAGCCCACCCTGGAGTTGGTCCACTGCCTATGTTGAATCAACTTGTGGTTGAATCATCTGAAGAGCTATCTCTGTCAGTAAAACGAACAAGAACACAGAGACCAAACTGTGCTGGATGAAGTGGACAATCAATTACAAACAACTGAAACAAAAGACTACATTTTGAAAGTTCACTTCAAAAAATTCAGCTGAGACCTGTGAATAAGCGGCCATTCACCCAGAATCAGTTTTTGCATCCAGTTTTTCAGTTGTTTTGCTATGTGATCATGCGATAGATGCCTTTGACCATTCCATTGTTTTAGGCCGTTTTCAGGTTTAAAAGATTTTTACGTGTCTAGAGACACCTTCATTAAAAAAAAAAAAGGTCTCTGTGCATACCATCAGCTGAAATCCTGCAGGCGCCCCTGGATACATTCATATAACCCCTCATCCCCAATTCAATATTTATATATATTTTTCCTATGTTTCAAGCATTGTGAACAGTGATCTTGCTTTGCCTACTACAGTATTTTCTCCTCTTTGCTTCTGTCTTCAGCATCTCTGGCCTCTGTTAATGCCCGTTTACAGACTTAGTAATATTTCCACACAAATTACATTTTGGGAAATGATTGCAATACAGTTTGTGTGCAGTTCCGGAATAGAGATCAGCCAAAATAAAATTAAAAGTCGATTGTGTGTTTGGCGCAAAAACCGTCCTGTTCCGATTTATGGCCCGAAAATGGCATCTCTCTCTCCGATGTCGCAGTAAAGACCGCAGGGAAAAAAAATCTTCAGCCTGTCCAATGACAGTCATTGGGTCCGTCAGACTGGAGACGTTTTTGCGGTGACCAAAAATATTTAAAAACCACCAAATCTGAATTTAAGACTTTTTAAGGCCTTTTATTAGGAAAATTTTATTTAAAACATTTTAAGACTTTTTAAGATCCTGTGGCCAATTTCTAATTTTATTTCTGCAACAAAAATATTCATAATATATTCACAATGTTAAATGTATTGTTCAGTGCTACTTAAGGACATATTCAAGCTGGTTAATGTGCAATAAAATATTTTTACAAATCTTATGAAAATAAAAAAGTGAAATAATATTGCTGTAAATAAGTCACATTTTCCTTTTCCCCATTTGATGAGTCCTCTGAATAATTCAGGTGTTCCTCATTTATAATAGAGGTTGTTTTTGCTTTTCATCTACCATCATTCTACCACCAACATTACATTTCACTCCTCTGGATCAAAAATCTAAAATTCACACACTGATTTACTGAAAAAGTCAGGTAGGTCAATGAATTTACCTGCTGTAAATAAGCACATCAAAGCTTTAGTCAACCTTGCCCACCCATCAGAATGAAAGGGCTTGTACTTAAATGCATTGAACAGAGCAGTGAGAGCAGGTTTGAAATCAAAAGCACTTTGAGAAGGTTAAATGTGACGTGACCCCCGCATTGTTTTATCACAAGAGGGTCATCTTCCTACCTTCACACAAAAAGAATTTGGATTCTCCCACGCTGATCTCTCCCTGGACTGGAGTGATTTCCACTTGCAAGGCAGCTGGAGAAGAGAGAGACAGAGAGAAATCCAAATTTCAGAAATAACCTACATGGATACGATACACAAATCAAACAAAGGAAATGAAAACTATGTCTTTTCAAAATCAACTAGTTAGTCGATTGGCTGAATGATTAATCAAAAACCATTTCTTATAATGCCAGATATTTTTGGAGCAGTTTTCTATAGCAGGTACGAATGGAATGAATAATTAGGGCTGGGCGATATGGCCAAAAAAATATATCACGATAATTTTTTTCATATCAGTCGATATCGATAATTATCACGATAAATGTCAAATCTTTATTTCTTTCAAGTTTAAAGCCAGATTTTTGCTCCAAAGTGAAAGTTGTAGAAACCAGACCATTCATTTTCCTTAACAAAATAAATATCTAAATAGAAAAATGAATTTCTTAGTTTCTGCATGTTATAATGAGTGATATTGTTTCAAATCAAGAAACAGGTTTGGGTTGCCTGATAATATTAATAATAATTATATCACTTTTTGTCTCTTAGAAATGTACATTTGATAGTAGCTTGAGTTAGGATGCAGAGGTAAATTTTTGTTCATTATCAATTATCAGATTTGAAGATTACAGTAAGATTTAACTTCTACTGTTAATAAGATTTTGGTAGGCTACTATTAGATGGATAGCCTAAATGTTCTAATTCAGATGGGCTACCTGTTTTTTTTTTTT